TTCTACCAGAACGCCAACACCGGCGTGAGCGCGAGTCGTGATATCGACGCCTGAGTAGAACAGTTTCCATCTATTGAGGTTCAGGAGTTCGAAGCCTGGGCGTTTTGTTGACGGGATTCCAACAGTGTCGAGTTGGTACTTCGTGGCCTCATCATCTAATTCATGTTCTTTTCCTCTGAGTGAAGATATGTTCCAATTTCCGACTTTAAACTCCCACTGGTGGTGTGGTTTTCGTGGAGCCTTTTCTGACGTGCTGTAATGGCATCGCGCTGTCTGCTTCCTCCGTTCAGAACGGGTGGCGACTCCTTTGCTGACTGGTATATTCGTCGTCGTTGGGTCGGTCTTCGTCAGCCGTCGTTGTGGTGCCACGCCCCCGGCTGGCAGAGAGCAGTGAGCAGGTTCTGATCGCCAACTTTTCCAATTTGCCTCAGTCCTCGAACAGCATGCGCGGCCTTTCGTAACCCGGGCGAGCAGGTATAATTATCGATGGCGTCATTACTTTGGCAAGTGGCTGAGTTTTATCGTGAGTTGCCGCGGTTTCCAACCGTCCTCCTGTCTCACCCCTGCTTGGGTCCGGGCATGGCGGAGTTATGTTTGATTACGTTCTTGTGAAACATGTTTTATCATATTTTGATGTAGTCTTTAACATCATAGTAACTATGCTATGAGCTGACCCGCATAAGGCAGCGTAGGACTTTACGTCGAAGGTTTGACAAAAGTTGGCAACGGCCAGTTTTAAAGACAGCCTCGTGTTTGGACGTTGAACATATTGCAGTCCGCTGAAGTCACTGGCGGTACTGAGAAGATTATCAGTTAAAAATGCTATTTTAATGAAGACTTCTAGTTTAATTTTTCTAGCGATCCAGTAATCCACGATTTAGTAGTGTTGATGATACCTCACAGATATGGATGCGTTTGTGGAAAATCAGGAACTTGACTGGCCAAGAGGTTTTATACTAATGGATGAGAATCGTAGACTTCGTTTACATTTAGCAAATCGCCTGATATTAATATAATGATATCACAGCGGCGCTTCTTCAGTGTTATGCGATTATCTTGCTTGAAGCTGCCTTTAGTCTTTAGTCTTTCTTAAAAAGTCTTTTAATGAAATACTGTCGGGCGAAATGCTTTCGTAAAGCTAGTGTGAAGTTTTTGTGAACCGCGATGAAATCGACTTAATTAAAGGCAGCCAGGATGAGCATTGCTTCCAGTTTACACAATCTGTTACAAACAAGCTAGGAGTATAATGAGATGACACACAAATGGTTCGATTTGGATACGTCGATTTTTTTCAAACCCTGTGCTAGCCAACGTCCAACCCTTGTTCGCATCTTTTGCTTGTAACATTGTCAGGACGATAGTAATGAACTTAGTTACACACTTAAAGCGAAACCGTTCGAAAATAAGCAACAGGCGAAAGATAATATATAACAAAAATACGATGAAGAACGTGCGTTCCGTGCCACCCCTACAGTGAGAGAGGTAAGAGTTTCTCGTGAACAGTAAACAGTATCGCGCAGATGTTGGATAACAGGCTATGATTGACTAGATCCTGTACGGTCCTGTAGTCAGGTTTATTTCAA